TGTGTGTGTGTGTGTGTGTGTGTGTGTGTTCTCTCCAGCTGCCTCCGTTGATTACGGTTCCTTTGCAGACAGATGCAGCACCTGGCTAGAGCTGCTTAGGCTGAAAGCTCACACCATAAGACGAGGATCAATCAAATCAATTAAGACAAGTAGGAGGACACAGTCTCTAGCACACTCTGGTGATCATACCCACGAATACACAGTTTCACAAGCAATCCCACACCTGCACATACACTAACTCGCACGCAGACACTCAAACATGTGCATGTCGCTGGGGGGCGGAGCATCGTAAATCAAGCTCCAGCTAGAGTGTGAAAGTTGAAAAATGTTTTGTTAGGAAACAGTCACCTTGACCTTTGACCAGGAAAATGTAATCAGCTCATCTTTGAGTCCAAGTGAACAAATGCTTACTGACTAACGAACGTATGTACAAATGGACAACCTAAAAACTTAATGCCTTTGGCCACTGGCTGTCACCAGTGTGGAGGCATAAAAACTCATGTTGAAATTATGCCAATTTTGGTTTTATGGCTCAGGTGATGCGCTGGCGCAGATTCAAATACACTTACCCATTATCTTTTTTGTTGAGTTTGTCCATGAAAGCCTTGACCACTGGAAGAACATCACTGGAGTTGATCAGCAGACTGCCACAAAATTTGCATTTCAGTTCCTGTTCATCTGAAGTGTGTGCCCGAAAGTCCAGGTGGTTGATCTGGAAGGTCTGCCTCCAGTTCATAGAAATCATACTTTTTGTTGGTAGATATTTTGCTTCTTATTGTGGTTGATATAGAGTGGATTTGAAATGTACTTTTGCACTTCTGCTAAGTTTAAGGACAACTGTGTGTAAGCTAACAAGACCACTGTGTGTGAGCTGTATTCACCAAAATGAAATTAGACTTGGTTTTGTTTCATTTTAACCATATGTGTATACGCATACTGAGACTGTGTATAATTCACGCTAATAATTGTTCGTCATGTTTATGATAATGATGTGGGTTATAAAGTGACAAATAATTACATTTAAGTTGAATATGCTTCCATGCAGCCCTCTATTAAGAGTTTGTCATTTTGTTAAGATAAATAGTTATATCATAGTGATAGGGATTTCATGTTTGTGTAAATAGTAATTCATCTTAAGTGAAGGTTTATAAAGGATGATCTAAAAGTTGAATATTATCATACCTTTAAAGGGTAATACTGTTCACATCATGTTTGCAGTTGTCAATAAGGTTTTGTGAGTCATCAGTAAAAGAGAGTCAGACCATCAGTTAGCCGAGGATGCTACAACATATGGATCTATAATTTAATTTTCATGTTTGTCCCCAGAGGTCTCTGTAATGGAAATTTTACATTTGTGTATGTATAATTGTATGAGCAGACATGTATGTGGAGGACTGACCAAATGGTTGACTAAATTGTTAATCTAAAAGGACAACTTTAAGGTTTACGGCGGTGGCTTAAGAGACTTGAGTTTTCTGGCCTCGAGAAACCACAACTTTATGGTATCTTTTGGTATCTCTGATTGAAATCTCACACCTGGGGTCTCACAGGGGGCTCATCCACAGAACATGTAAACAAATGGACAGGATATCTCCTCCACTGAGAGAAACTACAGGAGGGTAATAAAAACCTTTGCATGCTTAGTGGGAGGGGGCTGCGAGTTATAAGAACACTGACTCTCACCTGGTTCTGCTAGAGGTTTCTCCCTGTTAATGAAGGAGTGTTTCCTCTCCACAGTTGCCAAAGTGCTGCTCATTGTGGGAACTGTTGGGTTTCTCTATATTTTGATTTTAAGCTCCTGACCTTCTATGTAAAGTGCCTTGAGATAATCTTTATTATGATTTGGCGCTATACAAATAAAATTGAATTGAATTGAATTAAATTGATTCTCCTATGTTCTTTGCTCATTTGTTTGTTTGTAAGCTTCGTAAGTTTGATGAACACAAACTCACCTTTAGCATCGAGCTTCAGCTCTTTGAGGTAAATGCTTCCTCCGTGCTGTCCCCCAAAATACAAGGTTTTATGACTTCAAAGAGGGTATTTCATGGATCATGACCATAGCTTGGGAACCGGAGGGTGGCCGGTTCAAGTCCAGCATGGACCGAAGTATGAAAGGTGGACTGGTAGTTGGATAGGTGTTAGTTCACCTCCTGGGCACTGCAGAGGTGCCATTGAGCAAGGCTGCCCACTGTTCCGTGTGGTCACTGTGTGTATTGTGTTCCGTGTGTGTTGTGTTCACACGGAAGTGTTAAATGCAGAGGTCAAATTTCCCCATGTTGCATGTAGTGCTGTGTGTGCAAGATTGGAATATTAATACAAAGGATCTTTAATCTTGATCTTAGTCACTCATGCAGGTGTATTCCTTCGAACTACCAGTCCACCTTTCATACTTCGGTCCATGCTGGACTTGAACCAGCCACCTTCCGGTTCCCAAGCCAAGTCTCTATGGTCATGATCCATGAAATACCCGCTTTGAAGTCATAAGACACA